CCTTGTCCCTGTGCAACAATTCAAATTCACCCTTTTAACCAGGCAGCATCTACACACACTTCAATCACTGACAGCATAAAGCTGTGCACAGTGCTCGGGTTTGGGCTCTGGAACGCCTGTCCCGTCTCAGCTCAGAAAGCGTGGCCCAGAGAACGCAGCGTCAGGTTCTCCTCAGCCCTTGCACTACAAGGAAGAAATAGGAGGATCTTAGGGTCAGAAGCATGGAGGATACTTTTGTTGTGTGTTTAAGCTGTGTTGCTGAAGATGTTTTGCTCTGCTTTGCATGTGTGTCTGTTTTGGGTGGTTTTCCTTGTGTTTAAAAAAAAATAGGCATACTTAAAGTCTGCTTTACAAAACCTCAGCAAATTAACACTGATCTTTTCCAGACAATTCTTCAAATGAATGTTCTGCAAATGCCTCCCCACAGCATGTAACGATTTAGATACGCTGGAACTGGCTCCGCAAAGGATGCGCTCTAACAAGAGGAATTTAAGCGCTGATACCAGTTCAATTTGCCGCTTTTTGATTTTAATATAAAAAGAAATACTTTCTGCAAGGGAAGATTCAGCTTTCATCACCAGAGCCCTAGTACAGACTTTGCAGGCTAAACCAATTCACAGATAAGCACTTTTCATAAACATTACATATTTCTTGGCTTACACAGGTTCTGGAGAATGAAAGAACAGGCTGTGCTGACATCTGGTGGCTTTCTCTGCAGACAAAGACAGCTTATGTCAATAGGTCTTGGTTTTCGCTGCATTTTTTTTTTCCATTCCTGATGTAACTTCTCTCATTTACTTCCAAGATACAAAGCATTATGATAAAAACATTTTTGTTTCCACTGACCAGCAGACAGTGCTGTCCTATGCAAGTCCTCCTGTAAAACAAGAAAGGATCCTTTGTTGTGCACTACTAGGGACAGTGTAGAAAAGGTCACCTCTGTATTTTAAAGCATATTTCTTCATGAATACAAAAAAAAACCCCGCACATTCACTGCCCCAGGAAATGCTGCTATTGTGTATCAGACATCAGACGAGGTGCAAACCTAACAGAGGTGGCAGCAAGAAGCAAAGGGAAGTGGCTGGGAAGGTGTGTCTGTTTGTTTCACTCAAGAGGAAAGTGGGTAACAGGGAAAAGTCTATGTCCTGACAATATGAAAAGAGCAGAGTTGTCTACTGAGCATCTTTGCTTGACTCATTAACCACTTACAAACCTGTGCCAAGTAGTACTACGAAAAGGAAGTCATGGAAGTAGGATCAGGTACCAATGAGGAAGACTGAGCTCAGTCCAAACTCTTCCATAAGCAAAAGCGTGCACTTACCTTAAGCATTTGTAATGTCTGCAACCAGCTGCCGCTGCTCTGCAGCCAGGATCCCGTCAGTCATACGAGACCAAGAATGCGTATTGCACGTTCCAGCTTTTCATTCTTGATCTCTGGACACTCGGGGTTTCTGTGGCTATTAGCTTCCAAGGACAGGACCCACGGATGTCCTGTCCCGGCTGTGGTAACTCTTGGACTGTCACTTGCAAGCTCGTTTTTAAGTAAATGATCTGTCAGGGGATGTGCTGAATACTCGCAGGGAGTGAAACCCCACAGCTTACAACATACCTCGATCACCTCTAAGACAGAATGTTTTCATCAGATAAAGCAGTTCCCCAACTTTAACGGTGGTGCATGTCGGATCTTTGAGGACTCCTTTATGCCATTGGTAACTGTCAACACTTAACTCAGCTACGCATGTCAGCAGTTTTCTTAGCTCTTGCTTCTTCAAAAGGCAACATAACTACCTCTGGATAGAAAAATACACAGAAACCGTTGCATGCAGAAAGTATAATGTGACAAAGCCAGAAAAACCAAGATGCCTATTTCAGCAGTTTATGAGTTCAATTCCAAAAATTGTTAAAATGCACCATTTTCATACCTGTAGTGCTATAAAAAGCAGCCGTACTCCAGTATTTCCGTGCCAAGAGTGTTGTACATTCAAGATTTTGCACTTTTATTCAGTTAGACTGTTATCACTTCTTCCTCTTCATAATTCCTTTCCTAATTTCCTCCCTTCTACTGTAGTAGCTATCCTTACACAGCCCGTAATCAAAACTCCAGTCCCTCTGAAGTGATTTTTTTCTCCAAGAAACACCCAAGCCCAACACACAACGCCAGCTTCCAGTTTGACTGCCTTTCCCTGCTACAGTGCTATAATCCAGGAGAAGTTCTTATTTCAGCATCCACTCTGGATACTGTTCTTTTTGTTGCTGTTCTTTTTGTTTAAAAAAGAAGACTCATTAAAAGCTCCAAGGACATCACACTGAAAGATGAATCCTTATTAACCCCACGATGTCCGAGAACTCCAGTAAACTATGACTTACCCCACTACACATTATGGAGAAGCCACCTTTGATTAACAGTAATTGTACCAATGCAGTTCATGATCTCTGCCAGGATAACAACCATGGTACCAACTCTGTAGGTGGTTTCCTTCAATAGAAGGAGGATTTCATAATGGCATGGGCAAAGACATCTTGGTCTTCAGTAATTTATAAGCCAGTGTTCACAGATTTCATTCAGTACTCAACAATCCTGGAATCAAACCTACTTTGACACAAGGCTATACCGTATCCCACCAAAAAATGTTGGAACAGCATCTATCCTAACAAGTTCTCAGTTATTATCTATGGGTTTGGGGGGTTTATTTGAAAGAAGCATTATTAAAGCTCTAATTAAAAAAAAAAAAAACCCACAGTAGAAAAACACTTCAGGAAGAAACCAGTTTACAAGTATGGCTATTGAGAGAATTACAAAAGGCTCTACTGTGCTGCTGCAGAAAGGAGCCAATGAAGTGCCGCTGCCAGAGTGAACTGAGCTCACAAAGCAGTAGTTTAACTCTTCCCGTGGAAAGAGAAGCTAATCTGGAGTGCCAGACACATCTTTCTTGAAGATTTGCATTAAAACATTGACTGTTTTCTTGCTGACACTGTCAAATTGCTCTTTCACTGTGCCACTCTCGATGTGGCACTGAACATTTGTAACTGTACTAGCCCAGAAAGGACAGTTGTTAAAATTTGGTGACTCTTTCAAACACAAATGCCTTGGAAAAAGGGATCACAAAACCAATCCAAATCTTTCTAAAAGGGCTGGAGACCAAATTTAAATCTCCAGAACAGGAAGATAATTACAGTGTTTGCTCAGTCTGAGAGTCTGAATGTGCTGACAGACATCATCTAGATGCCTTGGCAGGACAGTCTGAGACATTGCTCTCTCCGACATACCACCTACTTCTTACAAAGTTACCTTCGTTATTGTAAATTTGGCTGAACAAAGCTGGTATACTCTGGAGTGCAATGCATTAGTTTAAACTGTCTGAGATGATGAGTACAAACTCATATCAGCCAGATTAATCTGCAAACATGACAGACTGCCTAAGAAGGTAGCTGAGACATAGGCCCACGTTTGGGGAGCAGGTACCAGTAACAGAAAGGCAGCCTGGACAGAAAGAGGAGGCAAGTGGTTAAGTTCTCCTCACAAATTCATCAGAGCATGTGTAACAGCATCTAAATCCCAAGAGATCACAGGTGACTTCAAGGACTCCTTACAAGATAAAGATACAATCACCCTTTTAATCGCAGATGACAAAGTGGCAGACTACTTACACAAGAGCATAAAACTCTGTGTGAAGCAAAGCTGTTGGTAAGTAACATCAGCTACCAAAACGAGCCTAAACCAGAGAGTTGTCAGGAAGGAAGGATGAAGAAGATTAGGTGGGAACAATTCATAGAGGTTTCTTTGGCCCTGCACCTAAAGTAAAGAGAACTTCTATTTAGATATGCTGGAAATCACACATCTGCTTTCACTATCACTTGTCAATTAAAAAAAAAATCATCAAAGCTCTAGGAAACAGTAAGCTTACTTCTCTGGAAAGTCTCTTGTGGAAATGGTGTTGTCAGCTCTCACCCAGAGCTGAGGGTAGAGGTGTGGGTCTAAAGCAATTGCACATGAGGTCTCATTTGATATAGCAGAGCCTATGTCCAAAAAGTGTGCTAAGGCAGAGAGCCAGCATCACTGCTACTTCTGTGAAGAGAGACTTAAAGGCACGGTGCTCCATCTTGGTACCCCCCCAACGCAGTTTCATAAGCAGTATCTACCTAATGGTACTTTATGGGATGTATAATTATTTTTTCTAATTCTGTTATTTGGTTACTGTTCTTTATTTGGTTAATTTGGAAAGCCTGGAATTACCAAGAACTAACACATAGTAACAGAGTATTTGCTCTTGGAAAGGAGGAAAGAATCAATTCCAGTCGTGAAGACGTGTGGCTCACAGACTGGGCCTCTCCTCGCAAAAATGCAATCATTCAGGTTTTATTCTTAAAACTGAAACCATGAGCTTTCACTCCATCTGGAAAAATGCCCAATTCCTACTAATGCACGCTGAGGTCCTGGCAGAACTCAGGTTGCTACCTCTTACGTGAAGGCGTCTCCATGAAGTAAAGCTAGAAACAGGCAAGCTGGTCCTTGAACACAAAAGCCTCCCATCAGTCATTTGTCCCTTTCAGCATGCTAAAGAGGGCTGGAAGAGAGCATAAAGGAAAGCATTCACCAGTGAACAGCATGAAACACTTGCCAGTATGCACCATTTATACAAAGGAGACCAAACATAAAATGAGAGAAGCAAAGCTAAGACTTGAAACAGAGAGATTCTCTTCTCAAGCTCTCTAAAATACCCAGTGGTCATAAAACATTTCCATTTTCATTAGAAGTTAGTACCGTGATGGGATCTTACTGGGCATTGTATCATCTCCATATGTAGCTAATGTCTGCTCTAAGATCACACCAAAAACGTGTGTCACAGGTCAGAGATTGCACTGCCTGCATCCTAAGAGGCAAGCAAAGAAAAGAGAAATGCAAGAAAGAAAAGAAGTCCTTTATGTCCCCCAGTTTTCCTTCTCTCAGTCTCAGCATATTGACAGAAATTAATTTCTATAGGAAGGGAATTGCACTGTTTGCAAAGCAATCCTCTAGGATTTATTGATCTTTAAGAAAAATCTCATTAAGCAGAATAAGGAAAATTTACAACAGGTATGGGAAAACAAAACAATCTCTTGGGATCTTCACCAGGCTGAAACAGGATTAGCTTTGTAGTTTCTGTAATCTTCCTCACAGAAGAATGCTAATTCGGTCTCATTTGCTAGAACAAATAAAAAATTAAATATTTAGCACACCAGTAAATGAACGACCCAACAGCCAGCTATTTAGAATCTTAGAAGACAACTGGCAACTTTTTGGTCAAAGTCAATTATAAATCACCACACAGTTTTCCCCCCCACCTCATATTTTTGCAAAAAAGATACCACTATTAAAGATGTCATTTAACCTTATTTAAAAAAAAAAACAAACAAAAAAACCCAAAAAAACAAAACCACCCCAAAACCAAGAACCTGAATATATAGAAGTAAATATATGCTCAAGACTCCTCAAGGTTCGTTTAACGCAGCCTTCAGAATTGTTTGTATAAGCATTCAGCAAATTAAGTGATTGCACTTCTAACGCCTTCAAATGCTAACAAAATGATGAAGCTTAATTTTCTCCTTTTTTGTGCATTTTTCTGTTATGAAAGGGAAAAAGAAACTATTTTTTCCATTAAATTAGCCTGTAGGTATAATAATTTAATACTTAGAGGATCAGTAGAATATTTTACAGATCACTTTACATTCTCCCTCATGACCCATCAAAATATGTGTCTGAAGAAGTTAATTTTTTGCCCTGCTGATGATTAATTCATGAGGCTTCAACAATATGCAAAGTGAAAGACACAAATTGGCTTCTCCAGCAATACCTTCAAATACCTCTAATTATTCACAGGGGATATGGCAGAGCTAAAGGACCCACAAAGGTTCAGAGCAGTCACAATTCTTTCAACCCAGTAGGTCAAGGACTTCCTCTTCTAAAACAGTAAGTCAGCAACATTACTAATTCAGAACAGAGACAAATCTGATGGAAAGCCTTCACAATTATTAAACATGGAATTCTTTAAGGTGCTGAGCCAATAAGTTCCACGTTCGTTTTTTAAATTAAACCTGAAGTTAATGAAGTCTGCCTGTCTTGTAAAAATGAAAAAAAAAAAAAAAAAAAAGAGCAGAAGGGGTTTTAGACTCTCAACTAGAAAACAGACAAGACTGTTTGCAATGAATACTGAACGCTTTATTAACATACACCTTGCTCTTAAAAAAAAAAAAAAAACAGGCAAGCATTAACTTTGCTGACTAGATAATAGCTGTAATAATAATCACTACCACAGAGGCTTTCCCGAGGATACTTATCTAATGTCCTCATAATTTATAACTCTCTAGCCCACCCCTGTAAAGTGCCAAGGGCAATCAACTGCAGCTTAGAAAAAATGTTCTGCACGTCTCACAATTTCCCATATTTTCTAATGGCAATTCTCCGTTTTATTCTAATAAATCTTGTCCAGACTAGATATTGGAAAAATGTAATATGCCAATAGGAGATTTCAAATCTTCTTACTGATTTAAATTAAAATGTACAAAATGAGGGCTAGTGTTACATGCTCCATACTTCACTTCCTTGGTTTACACTTTTCTGCTTAGTGCTGAAGAAGGAGGACTTCTTCAAGATTTTACTAGAAAGATCCCAGTCCTAACCCCGCTAATTCTTATATCAAGATACGCTGGAACATACCAAAACTCAAAATGGTATAAGGGCATACTGCATTTTACAAAGCAAGTGATTTTCTTTTCTGTCATGAATACCCACAACATACTCATGACTAACTGCTGTTAGTTATTCTGAAAAAAAAAATAAAATAAAAGCAGCTTTAAATTGTTTTCTGCCCTGAATAAGCCACCCCTCTCTTTGTACAGGCACACACAACAGGCTGGTCTATTCTGATTTCCTTTCACTGTAACATTTACTCTGATGTTTTGACAGCTTTTTTGAGATCGCATGAAACTGTTTCATTGTTGTAGCTACAAACCTAGTTTCAAAGATGGATAATACATACAAATATTTAGCAATGCTTTTTTGAAAGAAGGTAGCCCTGGACAGTGTCATTTCTAATTCAACATTCAGCACTGTCAGCGGACCCTCTCCTGAACTGCATTGCCTCTAATGCCTTAGGCAGATAAAAATCACACTTAAATGAATCTTCTGCTAACTAAATTACAAATCTGTAAGACTTGAGTGCCAGTAATCCTCCTTCCTGAGGAACCTTTTTCTTTTTTTTTCTAGATAAAAAGACCTGGTTTAGTACAAACAGCCAGAGAATAACTATAATTCATATTATAGTAACACCCAAAGACCTTATGGAAAGGTATACTGAGGCCAGCTGCAGTGCACCGCAGAAAAAATTATCAAAGAGACATCCCAAGTCACTTAAAACCAGAACGTAAATGCAGGAAACCTATGAGAAAGAAATCCCATTCACTAGCTGGGGAGCAATCAGAGGGCATCAGGACAGGAGGGAGCTCTCTCTGTGACACCCCTGCACTTAAGAGTGCCGGCAGTTCTGTGTTCCAGCTAGGCAAATCAGATTCAAATGAGCAAATGTCCATATCAAGGTGGAATGCAACTACATCCCTTAAGTACCCTGCTGCCACAAAGTCATTCAGCCACATTCATGAGAAGCCCAAAGGACATCCAGGGACCATCAATTTTATCATGACAGACATTTCTTTACATTACCAAAAGACATGCCCTATATGTAGTCCCCTGTCAAAATGCGAGAAATCAGGTCAAGTTTCAACTCTTTGCTATGTTCAGCACATTCTCTAAATGATACTGCTTGAGTTTTCCTGAGCAGTCTGGCTATCAGGCACTGTGTGCTGCACATTAAACAAATCTAATCTTATTTCATTATTCCATGCTGGTTCCACTACTTACATTTCTAACCAAAACATCAGTTTAAATGTTACTGATAAGACTAAGCAGACACGGTACTAATAACCTATCTGTCAATCATTTAAAATTACTCTCAGCAGAATTACAAGCATACCCTCTAAAAATCACAATTTGCATTCTGAACATTCAGAGTGCAGATACCTGCTGCCCTCAGCCCAATGATTTGAATGTACATTATCCCCCCTTCTTCCCTGAATAATTATCAAGTAGTGTAAAGAGCATCAGGAATAGCATTTACTTTTCAGCAGGCTATCCAAACATAATCAGCCAGTTATCAGTTTAATGACAACCACAATGAACAGCACCTTCAGTCAATACAAATGTGCTCCTACCTACTCCAGCTGCTTTCAGCGTACTGTCTTCTTTCAACATCAGTTTGTCATCATCTTCCAAACTCACTACAAGTTCACCAGTCTACAAATCAGAGAACCAGAATACAGCGATAAGAATAAGAATTTACTGACTGTCTCTGCCCCAGTCTTGTTTGACAGTGCAGAGATCTGTCTGCATTAAAGCACGTAAAAGGGGAAGAATACAGCTAATAATCATACCTTAGATTTGTGTGCTTGGTGAATGATCTTCATTGTATCTGAAAGAAAATACTTTTCTTAAATTAAGGCTTAACAGGCAGATAACACTGGAAGTTGTACTTGGGGAAAGAGAGATAAACAAAGGGGTAAGGTTCCAAATCTTTTATTATTAACAATTTTGTGTATTTGACCTAAAAGAAGAGAAAACATCTTAATTTCACAGTCCCACAGCCACAGTCTAAACCAGTCAATCCAACATTAAGGTACCACATCCTATTGGGCTTCTGTCTGCTGGCTGAATTACAAAAACTAACTAATGACCATCCCAATTGCCAGTCAAAACACATCAATTTAAATGCCAGTTAGGGTGTTTTAACCTAACAGGTTTTACACATGCAATTGGGGCAGGACAAACAGCATTTATGCACTGCCAACTACTACAGCTAAGTTGATAGGCAGCAAGTGATTAAGACGCAGTAACCTGACCACTTCACATCATTCCTTGAAATTTTCCTTCTCATGAAGAAAGCACCTGCAGTAGAAATTTTCTTAAGCAAATCCATTTTCCAAGAACATGTACAGCCTCTCCTCTTTTTAATGCTATTACCTCTTCGACAACATCTACCTCTGCTATGTTTGTGCAGTGTAGCACATTAAGAAATCATGCTATACCAAAAAAAAAAAAAAAAAAAAAAAAGAAATATCGCTTTCCTTTGGCAACCTGGGCAGGGCTTTGTTAACAGAAGGGAAAAAACAGGGGGAAATAATGTGGTCACTAAAGCAACCAGATGAGTGCAAAGATCAAGAGGGAAAGCAATCCGGAAGATGCCCATGCAGTGCTTAAAAAAAAAACAAAAAAAAACCAAAAAAAAAACCACCACAAACAAACAAACCAACAACCAACCAAACTCCGAACCAATCCCTTCCAAGCAAAGAAGCAAACCCCAGTTCTGCTTGCATGCTCATTTTCTGTTCTAGTTTCATTTTGTGCATTAACTGAACACTACGTGTTGAAACAGTCTGGTAAGAGGATTATGCAAGTCAGTTAAATACAGGCTAAAACAACTTTCAGACTACCGAGAGCGAGTATTCAGATGTTGAGAATACCAGAGATCATGTTCCCATTCAGAAGTTTGCTTCCATACCACTCTGGCCCATTTTGAACATTCTATTCAAAACATTACATAAAGTAAAAACTACTCTCTATTCCCACTGCAGAAGCCACTCAGAAGGCAGCCTTAGCATGCTGTAATAACTGCAGTACTGAAGCAAGACACACATTAAATTGCAATCACCAGAATCCACCTTGCACAGAAGCATTGCAAAAAGACCAAGCAAAAATATACCGCCATCATGAAACGTTTCTACCACAGCAAATACAATCCAGCATTTGCCTGTTAGTTTTAAGCTTCTCCATCTACTTTGTCACATTCCCTTTTCTCTAGTCTTTGCCCAGTCGTTCTCTGAAATATTGTCTCAATTTTATTTGATCACAACTCCACCACTGGCATCCAGCAGTTTACCATGTCTTCATCTGAGCTATTAAATGCCTCTGTTACAGACATGAAACTGCAGCCTCTTCTCGTCCTAGATAAAGCCTTACGTCCTCTCAACAGCCTTTGCCATCTCATCCCCATTTAGTCCCACTCAATCGTATTCTCAAATTTTTAACCTTCCTTTTCTGGTAATAGATCTTCTGTGACAATAGATAAGAAATCACTTTCTAAGTCTGATTCTGTGAAATATCTACCATATTATATCACATTCATGGAGGGAAAAAAAATAAACTGAGAAACAGCTTATGAGACAAGCTGGCACCCAGGCTGCCATCATCAGTGAAAAGGTGGGAATGACAGGGTAGGAAGATGAGAAGATTGACTGAGGAGAGTTCTAGATGGAGGACAGGAACGATGTGTACAAAGAAATGAAGAGAAAATGAAAGTCATAAGCTTTGAGACATGAGTTAGAGCACCATGCAAGAGGAAAAATGTAATGTCATTATATATGATGTTGAGAGAACAAAGTGGTGATGAATTCTGGAGAGAAGCAAGCTGAAACAGGCAAGGTGAGAGACAGCCAGGTCCAGCTGAGATTTCTGGCACTGCCAAACAAAGCAGAAGGAAAAACCTGACTCTTACTACACTATTCATGCAGAAGTCTCACTGCCCTTTCATCATCAAAATACAAGAAAGACGGTAGAACACACAAGAGATGCCAAAACCATGAACCTGGATGATTCACAGCCTGAGGGGAAGGTGAGGAACTTGGCTTTGATTTTTCAGTGTGAAAATTTCCATGCAGCTGGCACCATCCCACTAAAAGTAGGCCCCCACTAACTGGCATAACAGGTTTTTAAGTTCTGCAGTGTTTTTCACCCACATTATGCTCCATCCTACACAGCACAATCAGGTGCTCAGCCACAACGTACACCTCAGGAAAAAATAAACTGATGCTCTAAGTGATGAAAGAACTAGCAGCAGGGATAGGCAACACCAGGAATACAACTGATAGCAGCAGTTCTGGACAGGACACCCTCATCTAGCCAAAGACGCAGATATTAGAGGGAGGAAGGCCACCTCCAAATTCAAACTTACAGTTACTTAGATTTTAAGACCTTAAGTAATATATTAAAAGTAATAGTAACGTTCAAGCCCTTGCCACTGACGTATCATAAATCTTAATCTCTAACTCTTTTTCTGCTTTCATTTTGCACTGTTTCACCTCAGCTAGAACACAGAAAGAAATGCTTGGCTTTTTTCTTGTTGTTGTTTAAATAGGCAAATAGACTCTATTACTATTCACATGTATTAAGCGGGTTCCTGATTCAATTCTTTTAATTACTGTAGAGGAAGGAGTTTGTCAACGCCAAGAACAGGGGAGACGGAGGCTCCCTTGCAGCAAAACTCCAGGGGAACTTTCAGAATCGCCAAGTTTAGGAAAAGATACGTTACTGACATCCGAGTTAACAAACGCAAAGAAAGGAAGTAATTTAGTCTATTTTGAAAGTATATTCTGCCCCAAACAGATGAATTGCACATGTTCATGCCAACCCTCACAAAAAGGAAATACACGCATAGCTTTACGTTAGAGGATAAAGTCAGCCTGAATTTCACACTAGACTATTTCATTCTGTCAGCTTGTATTTAAGAGCTTTCATATCTACTTTGAGCAAAGTTCCTCTGCTTCTTTTACATTGTGTAAATTATTTAAGTATATAAGTTTTCAGCGTTTTCTATTTACTGCCTTCAGCTCCTGCTTCACCATCCTTTCTGACTTCACAATTAGTAAATAGATACTGAAATACACAAGCACATAGAAAACTACAGTTTCAAAGCATTGGAGATCACAAGCTGCTCACTAGAGTAAAAACAAAGTTAAAAGGCACTTATAAAAGTAATAAAAAATTAGTACCAAAACCCCTCAGTACCAATTCGCAAATAATATATAACGTGCAGCCTAATTCAAAGATCAATACAGAACTTCAAAATAATGGCCAAGTTCTGTGGACATGATCCCAGCAGCACAACCCCAGCTACAAGAGCTGGACAGAGCTGCAAATGTAGGGAGGCACTCCTACCAGTATGAGTATTCTACAGCAATTACCTTTTAAATTGTATAAAAACTGGTATAAAATATTATGTCTGCATTTTACAGGAATTAAAATAAGAAAAAAACCCACACCTACCATACTTGTAATTTTTAAAAGGAGGAGGAAGTCCTGTTCTTGAAGACACATCTATTAAAATAAAAGCACAAAGTGAAAACAAAGTTGTCTTTTTTTATTTGCAAGCTTTTATTTTCCATTATTTTGCAATGTATGCATCCTGGACATCCTTTACATCAAAATAAATCCACAACACAGGAGACTTGTTTGAGCATGAAATACTAAACCACAACCTTTGGCTGAGATTCTATAGTTACTCCATATCTGATTAACTTCACTTGAGCGTCGAAGTCCCTCTGAACAAAACAACTCATGAGGACAGTGAGTCAATACAATATGATCACAGGAGTCCCATCCTTCAGAAATCTGCCAGGAACATCCTGTCAATGGTTTGCACAGCACCTCTCTCTACCCTATACAACCAGCTGACACTGTCATTCCTAACTGAATTCTTGACCATGGAACCAGCCACAAAAAGGAAGCCAAACTGTAGAAAATTAACTGCATGCAGAACACAGCCCATAAGCAACTGCAAGAACACTAACACCTTCCCTGGTGCCACTGTTCCCAGTGGCACCCAGGGATTTAACCAGGGCCTTGGAAGGCCCAGCCACCTGTGGGGTGCTCGGCAGCAAGGCAACTGAAACCGTAATTTCATAGGTAGCTTAATTTCTCTCAAACTCTCCCTTCAAAACATATTACAGTGAAGGAAGGAACACAGCTTTTGGACCAGGAACAGCACTATCCATCTGCAGAATGAGGTTCCAAAAAGTCTGGTCCAAGACACTAGCTTTATCTCAAGTAACAGCGAGTTGCAATGCTGCACGCATCAGTTTCTTTGCATTGTTTTTTATTTCACTCTTCATAGCAGCAGTTCTACCATACGTTCTGAAAGTGCTTGTAGTTTTCTAAAGGCATCCTAAGATCTTGCCATGCCTATCACCGTCTAGAAGAGTGGAAGTCGCTGAAAACACAACACAGCCGCGAGGCCCCCGACAATGTCCTAGGAGTTGCTCAAATGTTATCAGCTGTAACACTTCAAGACTTGTTTAAACTCACTTCATGGGAAAAAAAAAATCATATGATGTTATTCTGCACCCTCTGAATATCCCCACTTAGGTGTGTAAAAATACACCGGCAAGGGTAACACCCTAACTACTGAGTCACTGCATGGGCTGGTCTACATTAATTAACTTTTAGATACATTTTCCCTTTCAACCAGGCTTCTAAAACATAAAGCCCATAGATGAGTAAATCTGCACCACAAAGCTCATGATGGAGACAGAAACGCAGAAACAAACATGCACAGTGAGACCTCACAGTGTCAAAACCAATTTTTCAAGATCCTCTCTTCTCACAAATAGCAAACAGACTTGCGTTCCCACATTCCACATATTGGTGTAGTTCCTAAGGATCAAAGGCTCTCTGAATTCTATTAATTTACTCCTGTTAATTTATGAATAGCTGCCTGACAGCACCACTCAAGGAGCCTGAGGCACTGAGCCAAATGCAGCAATGCCCTCCTCTTTTTGACTAAACATGAGGATTTGGGCAGGGGGAGCAGTCTATCCAAATTTAGGCATGGCACACTGACCATGGAAGCTCTTATTAACTCCAGACCTCCCATCCAAGGGAGGAGAGCACACACAGGATGTAACACAAATCTGGCATCTCTACCAAAGCCGCAGAATTCCCATTCATTTGCTCCCCTCCACTTCCTTGCGCAGAGACAGCAGCACATGGGACCGAAACGAATGAGTAGGACGCCGCCCCTTACCCTTCCGCACAAAAGTAATGAACTGCTTCACTGTCTGATCCAAGTTAACTCCATGATACACCACAGGTCTGAAATTCCGGTGTTCAAAAGAGCGAACAAGACGAACTGTGATAGTTGAGCTTTCTGCTGACATGAGAATTAGTTCTGTATAACCTGGAAAACATTGAAGTGAGGAATTACTGCCTTTCCACAGCTAGAAAACAAGGTGCAAGTGGGCCTCGTGCAAAGATTAAAACACAGCAAGAAATTCAATAGCATCATGTCTTTCATAACTTGGCTTCTATTATTTCTACAGAAGCAGTAACAGGATCTCAAAACAAACAAGGTTACCTAGAATATTAGTAATACTGTCCACCAAATAGTCCAGTATTTGTACCTGTGCTGTGTCATACAGCACCACACTCCCTATTAAACCCACAAAAATGGATATGTTATGTCATGGATAAACGCAAGTCTGTCATTTGGGCTCTAAGTGGCTGAAGTGGCTCTACTTTACCTGCTGGGTGAGTAACCTTGTGCTTTACAACAATGTACTAATATGAACAAAACCAAAATCTTTTTAATATACTTATGTTGTAGAGAGCATAATACCCTGAAAAATGCCTAAGCTCTTACACAATTACGCTCATTTAGACCTCCCTATAGAAAGTGGAAAATCCTCCCCCACACACATGCAAGTAATTCTCCTGGCATACTACGTAATTAAGGAGTTTAATTTAATTTATAATAGCAGGGCCCTAGAATGGCTCTACTGGGCTTATGCTACTTTATAACAGAGAGCAGAACCTACAACAGAATTGCCTTATCAACCCAAGCTCTTCTTCAAACAAGCCCACAGGTTGTTCTGTTGGGTTTTTTTCTCTCCACAGAAAAACAAGCTATTTACTACCTCTTCAATTCTTCCATATTTTTGGTGCTAGGTATTCCTCAACAACCTTCCTTTCTGGTCACACGCTAAACTGCAGTGGCTGCTGCAGCAATAAGCAAAGACTGCAGTCTTAAGTGCTGCAACATCAGCCAGGGGCACAGCACGACCTCTGCATCTACTGTCCCTTAGCAGCCATTTCAGTCACCATTTCCAGTCCTGCAAAGGATTCTCTTACCTATTCATCCCTTTACATTCTTTTTTGTGTGACGATTTATTATATTTTTTTGCCTTTTTTTGTTGGGAGGGAGATTATTTAAGAACCCCACCATCATGCAGGCATCCACATACCTCCCAGTCTTTATTTGTCCTGGCTGTATCCTGGCAAAGTAAACCTGCAATATTTTCTTCAAATACTTTCTGCAGAACGGGGACACAGACCTTCCACATCACAAGGCAACTTGCTTTTACATCCCCTTCGTCAGTAATTCACAGCGCCCTAATTCCACTTTCATTGTAAATAAGCTGTGATACACAAATAAAAGATGCCGATCGAGAAAAGCACAGTTTGCACCTGAAAAAAACTAGATTTATCTTAAAGAGCAAAGACGGGTACTTTCTTGATGCTGTTCCACATGGCCTTAAGATCTGGGGGCACAGCACAGGGCAAAGGAAAGGGGGGGCAGCATCCAGTTCGCTTTCTCCCGAGCAGCACGGAAGAACACTCTAGGGGTTCCGAACCGGGAGCAGAGACAATGAGAAATCGCCGACGTGCACATTTACGGTACAGACGCAGCCATCTAGGGCTGGGACCAGTTACTGCCCCGCGTACCCCAGGTTCTCCCCCTCACGGGCAA